AACTGGCAGTCAAAGTCTGAATCCCCATGACCTGGGAACTGGCAGTCCAAAGTCTGAATGCCCATGAGCTGGGAACTGGCAGTCCTAAGTCTGAATGCCCATGACCTGGGAACTGGCAGTCCAAAGTCTGAATTGCCCATGACCTGGGAACTGTCCAGCCAAAGTCTGAATGCCCATGACCTGGGAAGAGTGGTCACACAAAGGTCCTAATTCTTTTTGGCTCAATACAACCCCCCACTGCTTCACTCTGGTAGATGACCACAATAGAATGTATTTCATTTAGTGAAGCATGCCAAAAACCAGCTAGCTGTCAGCACATATGTTTAAAACTGCCATTTAGAAACCTTTTTTTTTTTTTGCATGTCAGGCCGCTGTGTCATTGGTACGGCTTGTGCCGCTAATGCCAGCGTCATACAACAATACACTGAAAAGCTTGGCAGGAGACAAGCTATTAATACAGAGTTCTTTCACTTCCTTTACAATGGAGGAGTGTGAAAGCAGTTTCTTGTGTAACTGGATATAATCTTTTTGATTGAAGAAAATGTGTTACTTTATTGTTCTGCTAGAACATAGTGCTCCTGCGCGTTAATTATTCTCACTTTGTATCTCCAGTGCCTTTTGTGTTTCATTTGCAGGAAAAATTGAACTGAAAAATGGCCCTTTGTGACTAGGTACACTACCCCGTAATTTAACATAACAGAGTTGCGCTCAGTATAGGCAGCTGATCCTGATCAATTCTTAAATACATCACTTGATTTTTAAAAGTAAACCAACACACAATTGCTAGAATCCAGTGCCGGGACAGGGTCCTGTAGCACACAAGGTGAAGATGCCAAAGTGTGCGTATAGCAAAACTTTTCTATAAACTTTAGAGAAGAGAATGGTTTCACCATGTCAGTTAATTTTTGCTGTCTGTATCCTGCTAAGAGGATTTACTCTAATTCTCTGTCCTGGAGATGCAACAGGATGCGCGGGGAAATTCCCACAAAGGGGTGAGCAGAAATCCAGTTGTCACTGGCACAAAGGTCCCCATTGGAAAAAATCCTCTCGCCTCTTTGGAATTTCTCAACATTTTCCCTTCCGGTGACAATGCTCACATTACAAATGAGAAAGTGAAAATCCCCTATGGGGACTCAGACAGCAAAACGTTACATGGGTTCCTATTCTTCCCCAATCTAAAACCAGAATCAAAATGTCAGGGCTATACTGTTCATACAATGTCACTATAACTTTGTAACAAAAACATTCTAAACTACATCAGTAGGTTTTTAAGCAAATACATTTGTATGTATTTTTAGCCCCCATCACTTAGTGGTTGTAAACCCTCATTTATAGCCAGTGAAGTGACTGGCCTCAGGTGATACACAGAGATGAAATAAATCATCCTACATAAGTTGTCCTGTTTACCTACAGCCGTCTATCCCCTACATCAGGGGTCTACAAACTTTCTAAACAAAGGGCCAGTTTACTGTCTTTCAGACTTTAGGTGAACAAAATGTGGCCAGTGAGAATAGACAATGCCCTATCTTTGGTGCCAGTGAGAGGGATAGAGGACCCCATTTTTGGAGTCAGTGGGAAGAATTGCGACCCATTGTTTGCACCAGTGGGAGGAACTGTGCCCTGTTGTTGGTGTTAGTGAGAGGAATTGTGCCCCATAGTTGGTGTCAATGGGAAATATTGTGCCCCATCATTGGTGTAATTGGGAGGAATTGTGCCCCATCATTGGTGTCATTGGAAGGAAATGTACCCCTTAGTGGATGTTACAGGGGAGAATTACGCCTCATTGTTGATATCAGTGGATGAAATAGTGCCCCAAGGGCTGAACAAGCAAGGGCCACATCCAGCCCTCAGGCCGCAGTTTGGAGACCACTGCCCTACATCCATTCAAAGTGCAGAATTTGCAGGATCTCTCAGTTCTGAAAAGCAGGGAACAGAGAGCTACAATTACACTCAGTGAGGAGAGCTCTGAGAGCTGATTGGATGGGAGGGACCCCCCCCTCCTCACAGGGACCCCCCCCTCCTCACAGGGACCCCCCCCTCCTCACAGGGACCCCCCCCCCCCTCCTCACACCGCACACAGAAACAGAACTGAGGCTGACAATCACAGACTGCACACTCCCCTGTTATGATTTTTCTCCTGGTGTCAGGAAAACTTGTCAGAAGTGACTCATGCTTGTAGCAGAGGAACAAGGCAGCAGACAGAAATGACACTTAGTGCACTTAATTGAGAGAAGTACACACTATAGAGGGATATGATTTGTTAATATTTCATGTCTGAGGTTTACAACCACTTTAAACTAAACCTCTCATTTACCACTTAGGAGAATCAAGGCAACAAATGAAACCAGTGAGAACAGTGATTAGATAATGCTTTTCAGCACTTGAAGCTCTGAATCCAATGGACACACCTGCTCCAGTTACAGCTCTTTTAGATGGGATTTCCCATCACTTTGGAGTGATTTCCTCTCTCACTTCCTGTTAGTCTCTGAAACAGGAAGTAAAGGGAAATCTCACAAGGAGACACAGAAAGTGAAAACTAAATAAATTACAAAAAAAGTTTCAACCATACCCTACTCTATCCAAAACAACAAGAAAAAAGTTGGATTTAGTTATTCTTTAAAGCGTAACTTCACCCTAAAAGGAAGTTGCGCTTTATATCCCCCTTCTCCCTCCTCTGCCACATTATAAATTGTTTTGTGGGAGCAGGTACCTAGTTTTAATAGGTACCTGCTCCCACTTTGGCACCCTCTCCCAGTTTGGCTGCTCCTCTTTGACCATTCCAGTTCGCTCGTGTGCAATGGGAAGCCAGCTGTGAAGCCACAAGGAGTCACAGCCAGCTTCCCGTAGTAAACATGCCAGAGCCCGGGAACCAAAGACCAGTGAAGAATTGACCTAGGTGAGGACAGTGCTTGATCCCCAGACAAGTGTCCTTATATTAAATCTTATCAGCTACAGTAATTGTAGCTGCTGACTTTTAATTTACTTTCTTTCTAGGGTGAAGATCCTCTTCAAGTTAGAACATTCATACAATTTACCTTAGCTGGCAATAACTGTAGTTCTTTGAAACCAGAACTCACAAAGCTTCTCCAATGAAAAAAAAAATGCAAGTGGCAATAATTTGGTCTTGAATTCAACAAACAAACAACAGAAGATATTTAGAAATGTCCTTAATAGTAATGCCCACTACCCACAACCCCTGAGCTGGTTGAACGTTGGTCTGGCAGGAAAGTTTCTAATTTGCTACCCTAGTTAGTTGGCAGCATAGGGTTTTCCATTAAATACCCCACTTGACAAGGTGCTTTCAAAAGTCCATGATCAACACTTAGCAGCTCCACAGCATATCAACCTGTTAAAAAGCTATAGCTCGCCAAAATAAAAGTTTGCTTTAAAGTGTTACTAAACCCACAATAAAATCAGTCTGTATATGCAGTAAAGCATGCTTGTTATTCTCACTGTGGAACCTAAGGGGTTAATCCTCTGCATTGTATAAAAATGCTGTTTGATCCTAACTTCTATGATCCTCCCCTTCTTCCAGTGTCCCCCTCTTATCTCCTGATAAGACATATTGTTGAGACACTCTGCACATGCTCAGCTTAGTGTATATTGCTAGAGAAGGTTTTATTTTTTCTTTGGAGAGTGCATGTGACCAGCACAGGGCCAATCAGTACTGTGCAGACAGAGGTCAGGGGTTTTGCATCCTCCTAGAGCAGAAAGCAAACTCCTCCTGAAAGCTTTATCATGTGCTCTGTTGTACACTGATAGAAGTCACAAGACTGCTCTAATTGCTTATGAGAAAAGGTATTTAGATGTTTATATTTTTATAAAATAATGTTCTGTGTACTGTGGGAGACCAGATATAGTGAATGCAGGGTCCTGGGTTTAGTAGCACTTTAAGGCTAGAGCTACATACATGGTAATGTCTAGTAGTCCAATTTGCTACTAAAGTCACTCGTCATTAATGGTTAAGAGTAGGGACTTCTTTCAAAACATCTGAATCAAATGGCTCTCAGTGGAGTAAACTGTGCAGGTATGTAGTAGCAATTAATACAACTTACACCATATGGAGTCATACAGTGGGGCAAAAACGTATTTAGTCAGCCACTAATTGTGCAAGTTCTCCCACTTAAAAAGATGAAAGAGGCCTGTAATTGGCATCATAGGTAGACCTCAACTATGAGAGACAAAATGAGAAAAAAAAAAAAAACAGACAATAACATTGGCTGATTTGGAAAGAATGTATTTGCAAATTATGGTGGAAAATAAGTATTTGGTCAATATCAAAAGTTCATCTCAATACTTTGTTATATATCCTTTGTTGGCAATGACAGAGGTCAAACGTTTCCTGTAAGTCTTCACAAGGTTGGCACACACTGTTGCTGGTATGTTGGCCCATTCCTCCATGCAGATCTCCTCTAGAGAAGTGATGTTTTGGGGCTGTTGCTGGGCAACACGGACTTTCAACTCCCTCCAAAGGTTTTCTATGGGGTTGAGATCTGGAGACTGGCTAGGCCACTCCAGGACCTTGAAATGCTTCTTACGAAGACACGCCTTCGTTGCCCAGGCAGTATGTTTGGGATCAAACAAGTGCCATTGATACAGGTAATGAGTGCAGGACAGAGGAGCCTCTTAAAGAAGAAGGTACAGGTCTGTGAGAGCCAGAAATCTTGCTTGTTTGTAGGTGACCAAATACTTATTTTCCACCATAATTTGCAAATAAATTCTTTCCAAATCAGCCAATGTGATTGTCTGGATTTTTTTTCTCATTTTGTCTCTCATAGTTGAGGTCTACCTATGATGCCAATTACAGGCCTCTCTCATCTTTTTAAGTGGGAGAACTTGCACAATTGGTGGCTGACTAAATACTTCTTTGTCCCACTGTATGTTTAATTTGTTTAGTTATCAGTTGCTTTTTCTTGGAAATAAACACTAGTGATGTTTAGTAGCATGGCTGAGCTCACCCACATAGCTCTAGCATTCAACTCCATATTTTCTTTTCTCACCTTCAGGTCCCTGTGTACCACCCCCATCTGGTGACAATGGAGTACTGCCTCTAGGATCTGTTGAATACAGTGACTGTAAAGAAAAGAAAAACAGAAATGCTTACAAAAAAAACAATAGTAAGAAAATAATAAAGAGCTATTAAACAAGAAACTTGTTCCTTTGTATATGTTAACCTGCATACAGCAAGCAGTTTGGAAATAACCCTATTCCATTTCATTGCAGTTGGCCATTCCTAAATGGAACCTGCTGTATCTCCTTGAAGGGACATGGTTTTGTGCGCGTAAAATTGGGTCCGATATAGTATAAAAGTACACCTGCTATAGAAAGGTGAAGACTGGCACAAATGAGGGTTCCTAAAATTGTTAGTTATTATTACAGGTACTTATATAGACCCATTACTTTACACATATTGTGTATGCACATCAGTCCTTAACAATCTAAGGTCCCTAACTCACATTCATACATACACATACAAGTGCGAATTTAGACAAGAGCCAATTAACCTACCAGCATGTCTTTGGAGTGTGGGAGGAAACCCACGCAGGGACAGGGAGAACATGCAAACTCAAGGCAGGTGGTGCCGTGGTTGGGATTCAAACCGACAACCCTAGTACTGCCAGGCGGAAGTACTGACCATTTAGCCACTGTGCTGCCCTAGTTGCTTGACCATTATGCTGACCCTCTTGATTCAATACATTTATTGATCCAGAATAAGGATGCAGATAAGGGCTTCTAACTTTTTCTGACTCATCTTATCTACAAACCTGTGACTCAAAAAGAATTAAAAGTAAAGCTGACTTCACATCTACACAACTGAATTTTCCTGCTTTTTTTTTATTGTAGGTGCATGGTTATACAATGAAGTGCAATGCTATGCCTATCAAAAGTCCCCTTTAACTTTATGCAACTAATTGATTTATGAAACCAATCCCATGATTCCAGTCACTCACCAAACAGTCAATGGGCCTTCTTATTTCAGTTGGTGCAGTAGTGAATAGATGAATGATATTAACTAATGCAGATCTTAACTGGGGGTATCCATAACCCTTGATTATTTGATGATTATCTTTAAGCTGTTCTTGTCCTAGCTATTCATATATACAGTAAAATCAAGATATTGACATCTTTTATACTCATACCGGTACCCATTAGGACTGCAAATGATAATAATTTTAATAGTTTGCAAAAGGTGGTATGAGGACTTCCAATATTTAGCAATCCGATGAGGGTCTGTAAGTGTAAAAAGGTTAAAAATGCCTATCACTTGCACACCATACTTCTTCAGAAAAAGGTGCGTAAAATTACCTAAACTATTTATTAAACAATAAGCTCACCTTTTGGTAAAATAATATATGCACTTTTTTGCAGGTAAAAAAATGTGCGTTTATTTTTTTTAGCTGCAGGAGCCTGTAAAGCATTCCACCAGCAATCAGAAGATCGCTGGTGCTATGCAGGTCTCCTGCAGATCTGTCAGTATATCTGCTTGCTTGTAAGGGATGTACGAGCAAGCAGATTTACTGACAGGAAGAATCAATGAACTACAACAGCGTTTTTACAGCAACATGGTAGTTCATTGAGAACTACAAGCTGACAGCCACTAACGTTGTTGGGACTTGTAGTTTCTCATTCACAGAGGACTGCGAATGAGTGATGTGGCTGGGCGGGCAGAACCCCGCACTGCCGCATTTTTTTAAAATTTGACAGGGTGTGGGGGGGGGGGGGGGGGGGAGAAGATATCCCACTGGCAGTCAAAGCAGGGGGATCGGCGGAATATGAGTGCAACATGTAACATGTTATGCTAGGTGAACTTATCCTTTAACAATTTTAAATAAATACCATATTTTTTTTAATTATATTAATACATTAATATAACTAAAAAAATACATTAATTCATTAAAAAGTAAGACAAATCAAGTGTTTAATTTTTCACATTTTGTCAAGTCATCAAGCTTGAAAATCTCCTGTAAAGAATGGCAATACATGATGAACAAAGGGCAGCATTGCATATCATTGATGATACTGTACAGTATATATTAATAAATGGACCTGGCGATTAGGCTTTTACTCTGGGAATGCTATTCAATTTAGGTTTTATTTTAAAGATGCGTGACAAGAACATTTACACTGCTGAGTCAAACTGCGGCTTTCAAGAGAAAATAAGTAATAATACAAATGCTGACCTTTGTTATTTGCAGAGTGTACTGACCTGGCATCTGCTTCACTGTAATATTCCCTGGCAACGATATCCTCGAACAGCTCTCCTCCAGTGACCCTGCAGACAGAGACAGTGCATGTGAGGTCAGCCATGATAATACACTGTGCTGGGTAAACACACTAGACCCCATATACAGTATACAAGTTTATAAGAGAAGGACCTTCTGTGTTTTATGTAAAAAAAAAAAAAGTGAGATTTTTTGTTGGGATTTTTGACATCTACCTCACCAATGGGGGTATTTCCACACACTATCTGCCCAAGTGTCACCCACAGCAGTAATGTGGGATGAATTACCTGTTTCTCCACTCTTAGAGCTCAAGGGAGCCTTCAGCTTGTATTGCAATGTAGCTACATGTATATTAAATATGTTTGTCTTTATTATTAATTTTCCCAAGTGCTACAGCAATGGTTTAAATACCCTGTGATTGCAGCATGCTAGAAAGATGGACTGCGGATTTAACATAGAATGTAGCAATATGAGTATCCTTTCGTCCAACACATTCCCCCTGCACACCGTTCCCATAAGTAACATTGCTAAGGAAGCATAAGCACTGTTAATTGAAGGAATGTGCAAGGAGGATGGAGGGGGATCCCAACTAGTGGAAACCCAGGTCACAGCACAGGGTATTTTAACCCTTGCCGCACACTTTGTAGCTAAAAAAAAATAAATAAAAAGACAAGCCTATTTATTACTGTATATGTCTACACATTTAGTAATAAATATGACTGCCTTTTTTCCATAATAAATGAAGAGTTATGCTGTAAAGTATATGTGAACCCTCACCAACAACCCAAAACAGAAACAGAAAGGCAATGCAAAACATTTGTGTATGAAGGCTGGACTGTAGGCCATCACATTTGGTGGCAGCGGTGAGATGCTTCCTGCAGTCTGGGGCATCCAAACCACCACTGGGATCTAGTTAGCAGAAGAGGAGAGGTACAGACACCAGCCACCATGGAAGAGGAATTCGTAAGGAGGCTGTAAGAGATGCAAGTGCAGCACAGAGAACCAGTGCCAATGCAGGTTCTGATGGGATGGTATGACTCTGTCCACTGGCAGCCCTAGAAGGAAGAGCTAGACTGACAGCAGCACTGCTAAGGAAAAATTCTCCTATCCATCCAGGAAAGGTACTGGTTGCAGTAAGAAGTGCTGGTGCTGTTATGGGGGGAACAACCGCACAAGGAGTGGGCCTCTGAGTTAAGCAGGCTGGTCCAGGGAAAAAATGCGACTGGACGAGAGCTACAGAGCCCTCTGTTGGCATGTAGCCCAAGTGTGCCCTTGAACAGCAGACGACAGCCCGACGGAAGGCTTTGGCTATGATGGCTTGGGGCTGTTGTACTGGAGACTGTCATGGGACCCTGACTTCAGGAGTGATCTGGAATGGCATTTGGAGGAAATCATGGATTACAGAGACCAGATTCTGAACATCTCGGAAGTGTGCTGGGTACAGGAAGAAATGGAGTTTCTAGCCCTTCAGGAATGGGAGTTTGAACAAGCATATAAAAGACTGTTTGACAAAGCTCAACAGTATGACTAAGCACCCATGGATGTTTTGGATCATGAGTTACCCAACGAAGTGCTGGCACTGGGCCCAAGAACTGCCAGCCCGTGCCCTGGATTTTCAGCAATCCCAGAGACTGAGGATTTAATAGGTTTTTTCTGCTGAACAACCCAGTGAGCTTCCAGCAGAAGAGCTGGCATCGAGGCTGAGCACAGCTGACCTCAGCCTATGACAATTTATGCCCCTGGAGGATTTGTGTGAGGCCACCAAATTTTCATTTTACTTCCCAGCAGAAGAGCTGGCATCAGGGCAGAGCATAAATGACCTCTGCACAGCACCAACAGCCCTTCCAGAGCTCCAGAGAGCTAGGGCAGGCAGTCCTTCTCCCCAGTAGCAGGCTGATACAGTGGAACTCCTAACCCCAGCTGAAGTGCTGGCAGTGGGGCAGAGTCTCGGCCCATACACAGTTTCAGCAGAACAGCTGGCAACAGAACAGAAGGTTCAAGACCTCTGCTCCACACCCACAGCAGATCAACAGTCCGGGAGAGGAGGTAGTTGTCCTCCCTCCCCAGCAGCAGTTCATGGACTCGGTAGTGAAGGAAGTTGTCCTCGCTCCACAGCGGGAGTCCGAGAGTCAAGGAGTTGGAGCAGCTGGCTCATCTCCCCAGCAGCAATTCAAGAACCAGGGAGGGAGGAAGTCGTCCTCCCTCCCCAGCAGCAAATCCACAGTCCGGGAGGGGAGGTGGTCATCCTCCCTCCCCAACAGTCAGCCAGAGTGGAGGAGTTGTGGTCCCCAGCTGAAACACTGGCAACAGGGCAGAGCACCGCTGGCCTTTGTCCAGCACCTACCCTGTCTTCACGGCTCCAGGGAGTTGGGGCAGTCAGCCTGTTTCCCCAGCAGCAGTCCAAGCCCAGGCACGGTAAAGACCTCCCACTGGAAGTGCTGGCAACAGGGCAGAGTGCCACCGGCCTCTGTCCAGCACCTACCAAGTCTTCACAGCTCCAGGGAGTTGAAGCAGTTGGCCTCTCTCCCCAGCAGCTGACCGCACCCCAGACGGTAAAGACCTCACAACTAAAGCACTGCCAGCCGGACAGAGGGTCCACAACCTCTGCTCCTCACCTACCAATGACAACTTTTCCCTGCGGCCAAGAATGGAGATTATGTGGACCGACTATGTGGATTCACTCTGCCCAACTAACGCATGTCCAGACCAGGTGGAGGTCTGGGACCTGGCTAGTCGACTTTTGATGGGGGAGAAATGTGACAGACCCAACCGGGACAGGGGCTTTTGGAGGAGACTGCAGGCTAGCCTCTTGCCTTTCTGACCATGATCCTGGCATCTAACGGGGCTCTATTTTTTGATGTGTGCCTTGGGGAGATCTTTGGAGTAGTTTACTTTGGATTTAAGTCCATGTCTCCCCAAAACATACAGACTCTGAGAACTAGAGCACCAAGATAAAAATTTGGGGTCTCTGTGCCCAAACTAGCATTGACTGCTTCAACCCCCTCCTTACTAGACTCAGAGACTCTAAGAAGATGTTGATATAATCAGCAAAACAACCTCATGCTGAGAACTCTTGTTCTAATCTGTTTATTAAGGTGTTATGTGTTTACTATCTTCCCCCATTTGTGTGCCTTCTAGGTGTGCATTCCTATAACTAATGGAGTTAATTGAGTCACCTATTGTTTGTTGTCAAGTCCTTCTAGAAGTGCTCACATGTTAGGATTAGACTGATGTCAGCTTCACCTCATTATCTAATCAGTCTGGGATGTTTATTCCAAAGTGTACTATTTGTTTTATTGTTCATGAGGGGATGGGCCCTATTTCTGGAGTGTATAAAAACCTGTGTTTTCGATTCAATAAAGAGTTCCAGTCTGGCATCTAAGCTAGTCTCATCTAGTCTTGCAATGCTCAGCTATAATACCTTGGTCCTGTGTCCCAGTGGCAAGGAAGTGGTTGTCTGATTGAATCATCCAATCTGGGTGACAGGCGTTCTGTCACACGAGGACTCTGCCAAACTAAAGACTGATTGAACAGACGTCAATTGGTACACTGCCCTACAAACTGCTGATCCATGCCCTCTGCTCTGCTTACCCCTATCCTCTGACCTGCTGACTCCCAGTACACTCCACTACTGATTTCTGTTTTTGTACACTGCCCTGCTGACCTCCTATCCTCTGCCCTCTGACATTTGTTTTTACTGCACCCTCACATCAAACTGTGGCCCTGTTGTGAGGTGTGATTTGGATGCCTGATGTTGGTGTGATCAGATTGTACTAGAGAGCACCCCCACCATTTGCAAGGAAGGAAAAGAGAGAATGTCTCAGCAAGACTAAAAGAGAGAAACCACAGCAACGTAAATCCCTGTCTAAGGACTTGCACATGTGCTCTATCCCTGTCAGAGCACATGTCTGGAGACACAGAATAGGGCACCCTAGGTCTGGTAAGAGACTAAAATTACGTAAGTTCATCTGTTTCTGCTGGGAACTATTATGCTTTCTGCAAGGGCTCCAACTTTGCCAACTAGTGGTTTCTTTTATCTTCATTCACTGACAAAACAGGGGCTGTTATAGCTAGTTATGACTGTCGTTATATCAGTATATATGTTGCTAGGTAAATGCGGTTCAGTTCTGGAAATTACTGTTATTTGCTGCAGGTGTTTAGCCATATCTCTCAAAGTAATGGCATTGTCTTATTAATTGTTTGTATAAATACACTTGCTATTCCCCTCTTCTTTTAAGCTATGCTTGGCCTAATATCTACATTTGTCTATCTATCTATCTATCTATCTATCTATCTATCTATCTATCTATCTATCTTCTCACATAATCTCTGTTCTCAACTGCATAAGAAGTGGAGACTTCAGGGGGGAGTGTCAGCATCAGATAGAGAAATAGCAATACACTGATCTTCCCAGTGATAAGCTGAGCAGGGGGGTGTGTCAGCACAAGTCTGATCACTGGAGGACAGGCAGGCCGTTCTCCCAACACAGCAAGAAAACTGACCACCCTGGGAAGAATGTGCAAGGGGACTGGCAGGATCACCGGGTATTTCACACAAATGAGGAACTACAAGGAGACCAAGATACTTTTTAACACAAGCACATCAGTTTCATCAGTTCCTATGAAGAATCCACTAAAGGCTGGTGACAGATAGTGTCACTATTTCCTTAGTAGATTGTTCATAAGAAGATGTAAAGGATACACCTCAGTTCTGGCAAACAAAAAAAGAGAACTGATTATTCCTTGGGTGTCACCAACATAGTGTATCACCCTCCAAGTTTAGCTAGGGGAAGCTAGACTCCAATGGTTAGACAGGGGCTGAGCAGAAGCCCAGGTGTAATAGTCAGAGAGTGGTCGAATTGTGGTCAGGGCTGAGAGACTTTGCAGGCCAGCCCCTCTGGAATTTCCCCCTGTTCTAGGGCTTTTGAAGGAAGACTCTAGAGACAGTGTGATGAGTGACTGGCTGTACTCTTGAGGGGTACTAGCCAATCCCCAACAAGATTTTGGCAAGGGGCTGGACACCCTTAAAAATGTAGCCTGCTCAGTAGCAGACGTGTGGGAGCAGGAGAGTTGGAAGGAGAGTTCA